CCAAAGGCCTGGAATTGATTATATGGAGACATATTCTCCTTTAGTAGATGCTATCACCTTCAGGTATCTCATAAATATGGTAGTGCAAGAAAAACTTGATATGCATCTAATGGATGTTGTTACAGCCTATTTGTATGGATCATTAGACAATGAAATTTTTATGAAAGTACCTGAGGGATTTAAAGTGCCAGAAGCATATAAAAGTTTTCGAGAAACTTGTTCAATAAAGCTTCAGAAATCTTTATACGGATTGTAACAATCAGGTCGTATGTGGTACAATCGTTTGAGTGAATACCTGTTGAAAGAAGGGTACAAGAATTATCCAATTAGTCCTTGTGTCTTTATAAAAAGGTCTGGATCTGAATTTGTTATAATCGCCGTGTATGTTGATGATTTAAATATCATTGGAACTCCTAGGGAGCTTCCAAAAACAGTAGACTGTTTGAAGAAAGAATTTGAAATGAAAGATCTTGGAAAGACCAAATTTTGTCTTGGTCTACAAATTGAGTATATGAAAGATGGAATATTTGTCCATCAATCAACATACACCGAAAAGATTTTAAAGCGATTCTATATGGATAAAGCACATCCATTGAGTACCCCGATGGTTGTGAGATCTCTTGATATAAAGAAAAATCCATTACGACCTCATGAAAATGATTAAGAGCTTCTTGGTGCCGAAGTACCATATCTTAGTGCAATTGGGGCATTAATGTATCTTGCCAATAATTCCCGACCAGATATAGCTTTCTCAGTAAGCTTATTGGCAAGATTTAGTACTTCGCCAACACAAAGACACTGGAATGGTATTAAACATATATTCAGATACCTCCAAGGGACCATTGATATGGGTTTATTTTATTCAAATGAATCCAAGCCATCATTGATTGGTTATGCAGATGCAGGATATTTGTCTGATCCACACAAAGGTCGATCTCAGACAGGCTATTTATTTACAAGTGGAGGTACAACCATATCATGGCGTTCGACAAAACAAACTATGGTTGCTACTTCTTCAAATCATGCAGAGATAATAGCCATTCACGAAGCAAGTCGAGAATGCGTTTGGTTAAGATCTATAACTCAACACATTCAGCAAACATGTGGTCTTTCTTCGAAAGAGAATATTCCAACAATATTGTATGAAGACAATGTTGCATGCATAACTCAATTGAAAGGAGGATATATCAAAGGAGATAGAACAAAACACATTTCACCGAAATTTTTTTCACTCATGATCTTCAGAAGAATGGTGAAATAGATGTACAACAAGTTCGTTCAAGTGATAATTTGACTGATCTGTTCACTAAGGCGTTACCAACCTCAATATTTGAAAAGCTGATATATAAGATTGGAATGCGTCGTCTTCGAGACATTAAGTGATTTTTCATCAGGGGGAGTAACTACACGCTGCACTTTTTTCCTTAACCAAGGTTTTGTCCTACTAGGTTTTCCTGGTAAGGTTTTTAATGAGACAACAAGCAATGCATATTATAAATATTTATGTACATCCCAATATTTTCTTGTAAGTTTTTAATGAGGCACATTATTTTACATGGACATCCAAGGGGGAGTGTTATGAATAGTTTGTACATTGGATACTATTTTGGATACTACATTGGATGCTCATGTTGTGAATAACTTAAAGATTAAATTTCCTACTTTATGTCCATCATCTTTATTTTTATGCCTATAAAAGGCCATGTAATTGCAATGGAAATATACACCAAAGTGAAAGAAGAAAACACTTCTCCCTTCTTTCTATCTCTTCTTATTTACATTTTACTGCATTACTTTTATTTTATTACATTATCTTTTTTCTCATTTTTTTGAGTTTTCCTCTCATTTCTCTACAAATTGGAGGGGAAAAAAAAATAATAAAAGCGCTTACTAATAAATGTCCCACTTAAGTGCCACCACAAAGAATGGTCCCTTAACAATCTACTCCAAAAGTCGCGATTGAAACCGACAATATGGGTTTTCGATCCATGGTAAAGAACTACTTTCTTCCATATCGCCTGCTCATTACTTTTCCCTCTTCCATTTAAGAGTTCCATCTATTTGCCTTCTCATTTCGAACTTTTCATTATATTTTCATATTTCAATTGTTCAATTTTGGGGATAACGTGCTCTTGCTCTGTAAACTTTTATTTTTGGGGTTCCTTTTCGTAGTTCTCCTTGGGGATTGTATTGTTAATATTTTTGCTTTTTCCGTGCAATTTTGTTGTTCATATTTGTCAAATTGATTTGTTACAGCGAATCACTTACTGACTAATTCTAACGTTGAATTTCTCTTCCCAGAGTTTAATAATCGCTCTATACAGACTACAATCATCTCCTTCAATAATTGTGAGCAAAGTTAATCTCACCTATATGTGCTCTTTGGTTTTAATGGCTTTTTTTTTTGTGTTTGTTTAATTGTTTTGGTGAAACATTTTACTTATTCGGCTCTTATACTCTGATTGTTTATACCTTTATAACAGATGTATGGAGGAGTGCAGAATGAGGGCCTAACATAGAAACTTCCCATGGTTCATTTACACTTGAGCTTCTATATTCTTTTACTTTTGGTTTTTGTTGTTTTGCAAAAGGGGTTTTTGCGTAAGGAGGAAAAAATTAATATTTATACTTTAAAAGTAGATGTAGTACAAGAATGCGCTAAGAACTTGCTGTGATTTCCTAAAGCTTTCTTTGAGAAGGTCTGCAGAGATGTGGTCTGCGCACTGCTGTTTCAGTTACTAAGATAGACCTAGCTGTTATTGGCATATTGTAGCTTCAGTTCCTTGACTTTTGTCACTTGGAACTGGTTTTCTCATTATTTGGGATAATATACTATAGGCTGCTGGTATGACAAGATCAACACCCGAGATAGGGGCACTTGAGCATCTCCAAAATAGCAAATTCACTGGAAAGAGAACAACAAGATGTCAAATTTTTGTAATGTTTCAGTCATTTTTTAAAGAGGAAAGGAATAAAAGGTTTAATTCATTCATCTAAATTCAAAGCATTTACATGAAAATAATTATGTTGAATGAGGGAATGTTACTATAAAAGAATATGTTTCATTAAATTTAGCCTGTGATTTGAAATCCTATAGGATGAATAATTTTCATCTCTTTACTTCTAAAAGCTATTAGCTCCTAATGAAATACCTACGAAGTATTGTTCATGTTACGTCAGTCTCTATACTTATATCAGTTGTTTATTTCTTTTTCCCCGATACCTTTGCTTTGATTCTATTCATTCCCCTTTCATTTGACATACTATTTGTAATATACTTTTAGTGTGATTTATAGCTGTTTATTCTGGAGTAATAACAGAGGATTGCACGAGAAAAAATATTTTCGAAGTGACTTCATTGAAGAAGAAAATGATAGCTTTCTTCTAAAAGAGCTCAATCGCACTTGTAATTCTCATTAAAAAAAATTGCTCATGCTAGATATAATTACTCGGTTGAATAATTAAGGTGCAACAAGTTACCTCGGAGATAATTGTGATTTCAAGTATAAGAAATGACATGTTACATAATGATAGATAGAATCAAGAAGGCATTAGTTCAATTCATGCTCCCTTCTCTATATTTCCTTTGTGTTCTACGTGTGTACTCAATTGGGATATATTATTTTATGTTTATGAGTAGTTCTAACAAATTGAGTTCTTTGCTGTGAGACCGTGAGAGGAGTTGGCCATTACTAACTTGTTCTGAATTCTGCTATCTAACTTGTATTTCTATATCAGCTTGAAAAATGTAATTTTGGCACGTCTTTGAAAAGAATTTAATTGTTTGCTTAAGCACATGCCTTATTAGGCTAACACAATTTGATTTGTCCCATCACTGATCAAGTGTTGCTAATTACTACGAGTATATAAGATCCAATTTTTTAGAATCTGCACAGTTATTTCAATGTTAGAGTAAGCAATGAACTTTTGGAGTAGTGGACAATTTGCTTCGCCATCTTATATATTCAAGTAACTTTTCTTTCTTGATAATCGTTTGTGCTGACCATTCTACTTTTTCTCTTTTATTTTCACTTAATACATGTAAAATTTATCAATTAACGCAACGCTGGTTTATTTGTTTAATATTTTATTTGCCTTCACATATCTCCTTCGTTTTTCAAATATAACAAACAATTTGGTTATTAAGGAGTATATTCTGGCTTAATGCTTAAGAACATATTATCTTTCATTTATTTGATGTTCAATTTGTTGAGTTTTATTTTTCCCACATGGAATCAACCTTAAGAATATTATCACAACAAAGAGTTACTAATCTTTTTAACGACCGGACAAATTTCCTAGTGTATATATAATATATAATATCTTATACTATTGCTAATGAAGTGTTGGTTGGTGAAAAATTGGACAGCACGAAAAAAGAAATAATAATAAAAAGTTGGTCGTTAAACTTCCTCGAACATGCAGTCTGCTCATGTAGATAAATAATTTTCTTGTTAATTTCCAACAAGCTTTGATCCTTTTTCTTTAACCAATCAAGTCTTTTTTTTTTTCACTCTCATACAAGTTGTATCAACATTTTTCAAAAAGATACCATTACCACAGGGTCCACACGACTGATCCACCGGCAAATGATTGAACAACAATGAATATAAACTTTTCTTTTTATTTTGTAAATAAATTTACTTAGAAACGTATTTCTGAAGGCATTGATGCATTTTTTAAACCTTCATTGTAATATAAACATAAAAAGATTGTAATGATTGCATTACAAATTTTGCACGGTTAATCTTTGCATTAGTAATCAATACATTATAATTCTTTCATAAGTTGTTTCCAAACCAAACGACCCTAATAGTACTGATATATCATATTGGCTCTATCCTAAAATGGGGCTAAGTAGGGTAAATTGAAGGATCCTTTTAAATTAGCCAAAGAAATATGGTCTTACTGTAAAAGTTATTGCTCAAACAAAGGATAACGAGTTCATCCGATCCATGACTGACTAGCCTAGACTCGGCGGCGGCGTAAGCTGCCAAACAGAGGTGGAAATGAGTGGGCGACCATGCCAACTCAACGTAAGACACCCATCATTCTGTTCCACTCGATATCCATTCCTATTTTTAAACAAGGCCAATATCATGGTTGCTTGTACGTACATGCTTGGACCTAGCTGAACCGGGTTGAACCCGGCTGAGTTCATCTTCACTCGCCATTCACTCAGCGTCGTCTCAACTAGCTCAGTCCCTAATTCGCAAGCCACCATGTTATTGATCTGCTGACCTAGGTACTCATGCACCAACCTTGAGTCACCGCTGTTGTGCTGATCATGAGTCGACTCTGAGTTTTCCAAGGAGCCAAACATTTTTGAATAGTAAGACCATGCGTGGTTAAACCTGTCCATAAAGACACTTTGATTTGCTTCTTCTTCGATTATGGTCACAATCTTCGGATGCATCTCTTTGATTGAATTCAGCACCTTCTCGATTTCGCCTGGTGTATACAACAGATGGTGAAACTCGAAAATAGAGTTCACAGCCACTTCTTCATAATTACTAGGCCTAATATCCAACCTGGAAGTATCAACATCGGCTAAAGAGTCGACCACGATTCCACGGAATTCAAATTCTACGCCAAATTTATTGGCAAACTCGGCGAGCTTCCACTTGAGTTGCCGTAAGGCATCGGTGTTATCGGGTGAGCCAATTCCAGTGAGCCGAAAAGCCGGTGGACCGCCAGGACGCAAAGCGAAATCCCATAAGTGCAAGCCATTGCGGACCTTGGTTCAAGCTGAAATCAATTATATGTACTCTACTAGAATTGGCAAAGGCGTCGAGAATAGCTCGATTGACAGAGGAATAGGCGAATTCGAGGTACGGACGAATCTCATGGAAGCGCATCTGCATGATGTTGTCCGTGTAACAAGAAAATTCCATAATATCTTCTAAATTCATTCCTTGAATCCTTTGATCCAAAGCTTCAGCGAAATAAGTTGCCACTTTTTTCATTGCTCCAAATTCTGAAACTGCATGTTCTCTTATGAGCCTGACTAGTGCATCAGCTAGAGCTAGGTTGTTTCGTTGGACTGCCTCGCCACAAGCCAATAAGATTTTGACAAGTGGTTCTTCGTTCACTGCCTCACTGCCAATTCTCAAACCTAAACAAAGTTCAAGACCATCCCGAGATCTCATTCTGTTACTGCTCTCTGCAGATCCTTCCTCGGCCACTTTGTCGCTGTAATTATTGCAAACAACACTAATATTCCTAGAAAATGCCCTGAAATCAGTACTACTATTAAATATCCTGGAAGTTGCACCTGATGACACAATCATATCATCACAACCGCCTGCGGCAGTCGAAATGTGGTCGTCTATACTCGTCGATGAATCAGACGAATTAGGAATATTGGGATCTGAGATCAAGCTTAAGGTCAAATCTGAAATATCAGAAGTGCCATAGATGATTGCATCTGTAGTAGAATCAAAGGACTCCCCATCTTCCAATAATTTGTCCGAAGACGAATTTCCAGAACTCATTTTTTCTTCGTCTTCCTTTTTTTTTGGGGCGATAAATTGCTGGAGTTTTCTTAGCGTCCTGCTTTGCTTAAAAAGAGTCAAGACCGAGTCAGGTCTTGACTTAGTCAACTTCTTTTATTTGTTATTCGTCATTCAAAGAAATCTCACTTTCATTTGTTCATGGAATGTAACTTTCATACGTCAAAAGAATGGCACTTTGATCTACCTTTATGTAGTGTTGAATGTTGATTACTCCCTTCTAATAGGGAATATATAGAGCTCAATTAAAAACATCACCATGAGAAAAGTGGGACCCATACAAAGTAATAACATTACGACAAAAGTTAGACGTTGAATTTCCTCGAACATGCATGTAGATAAATATCGATCTTTGACGAGTGCGAAATGAAGTAATTTTATTTTCCTAGCTAGGCCTATGAAGTCTTGATTGGAGAGAAGGTGGACGTTAAATTTCCTCGAACATGGCTGATGTAGATAAATCATTTTCTTGTCAATTTACAACGAAGTCTTTATCTTTTTTCACCATTCAAATCTTGATTTGAAAGTTGTTAAAATGAACATAAGTAAAGAATTTCATTATGGGTATTCAAAATTTAATATTTATATATAAAAAGTATTTTTTGATTTATATATACAGTATAATTTTTTATGTATGCAATATAATTTTTCAATAAAGGATGTTCAACCGACACTCTTCATTATATATGGCTACGCCACTGGGTGGAGAAGAAGACTTCTCTTTTCCGAAAAAGAAAATATTGATTTCAGAATACAAGAATCAGCTCATTTAATTCCTATGTGTTCTTATCAATTACCTAGCATAATAGTAAAATTATACTCTCTCGATTTTAATTTATGTGAATCTATTCCTTTTTAAATTTGTGCCAAGAAGAATGACTCATTTCTCTATTTGGAAACAATTTACCTTTTATATGCAATGATTTATAGTCATACAAAATATATGTGCTTCATTTTACACCATAAGTTCAAAAGTATTCTTTATTTTCTTGAACTCCATACTCAGTAAAATAGATTCACATAATTTGAAACAAAAAAAGTATTTTTTTCGTAATAGTAGTGTCCTAATCAGTTTGCACGACGAACCTTTTCAATGACGACATGTTATCTTCTATCAAAATAGGTGCTGAATAACTTTACCTATCAAGAATTAATTAGGCAAATGAAAAAACATCATCTAACTATTTTTGTATTTGTTGGGATTTTTGAACATTTATCTTCCATAATTTTTATAGACCACACCCTTAGATGCTGTAGTAAATAAATTTTAAAACAATCACAGCTTCTGCCAAACTAGCTCATGAGGTAGCAATTGGAATTCTCAACCTGAGATAAACTATTCAATAACGTTCCAGTAAAGTAGAGACCCCAAAAATATGATCTTTGTCTACAGGAGAATACTTTAAACAAGTTGATTTGCAATTAGTGAAAATAATTTTTTAAATATATTTTAATCACAATTCTCACTGTGCTTTGAAGCTGACACTTTTCTCCCAAGAGTTTTTGCAACTTTGAGAACCCAAATGAATTTGATTATATGTAATTTCCTTGAAATTTTTGAAAAGGAGAAAAATGAGCATTTTAAAGTGACTCCTTTTACTGTTTTAGTGGCTCCCACAATGAGTATATGATCATCAATAAAACTTTCTAAAAAGACAAATTAATAACAGGGTCATCATCTAACCCTGTTTACACTTGAGAGGTTACAAAAAAGTGATTTGATTTTGCCACGTCTACTAGAGGTTTGTTATATGATTTTAAAAATCGAGGAGAGTAAGACCGAAATAATTAGGTGTCATGCGCGAAAGTTAGTAAAGCAACACTCGAACGACGATAAATCACACAATAAAAGAAAAATATACCAAAAGAGACACAAACATTTAACGTGGTTCGGTCAACTAACCTACGTCCACGAATGGAGATGAGCAATCCACTATATAAAAAAGAGAGTACAAAACATCGAGAGAACAACCTCATGAAGAGGCAAACACAAGTGAACACACTGACACTTGTCCCATAAAGTTCTCCCCTAAACACGACTCTCAACCTCATATGGCTACATTGTAAATGCTACTGAATGAGAAGGATGAATCTTCAATTTATAGAACTCCAAACATTTTCCTACAAGAAAAGGGACTAGCGAAATATGAAAGAATTATATTTTTCTCTAGGAAAAGAAAAATTCAGTTATGATAAACATGTTGCTCTTTCCTTCATGAGGTAGGAAGATCAATTATGGTAAGAAAACCTGGACAAACACCTAACAGATTTTGCCATAGTCTACTAGAGGTTTGTTATATGATTTTAAAAGCCGAGGAAAGTAAATTTGACTTGGACAAGTGGTACATTTCATTGATTGGAGGTCACGAGTTCGAGCCGTGAAAACAATCTCTTGCAGAAATGCAAAGTAAAACTGCGTACGATAGACTCTTGTCGTCCGGCCCTTTCCCGGACCTTGTACATGGCGGGATCTTAGTGCTTCTTAAATACATGAAGTTAGTGACTGATTGTTCAATAAAATGCTGCTAAAAACATGCTAAACAAGTCTAATGTTAACTAGAAAAGAACTGCAAACTTTTGAAAGATAAAAACAGAATCCAAACATATGCAAAAAAGGATCAGCAGCTTCTGGTGTGTGCTCCTCAACTTTTGCAGCCCAACTCCTTGAATTTAGTCCGGTAAGCACTTTTGCCTACAGTTTAGCAGACAACACTGCAATTATTTAGGCAACTACAACAAGTTGGTTTCCAGCTGCAATTATTCCTTATTTCTTAAATGATTTCTTTTTTTGGTTGAAGTAAGATACTGCTTTTAAAAGATAACATGATCGTTTCCGCGTCTTGTTCTGAGGGATCAAATTAAAGATCTCATTGTTGAAACATATCATTAGGCTTCCGCGTCTCTTCTCACTGGCATTTTGTAACTACCATTTGTGGTCGTTTGGCAGTTTAAATCCTGGATCCGCCCCTAGCTTTGACTAGGATCTGTTGCAGCTATTGGGACATTATTGGGGCCAAAATCTGATGTAAACCTTCTGAATGCAGTGTCTTCTGAATGAAAATTGTTTTGGGGTTGAGTTGGTGACGAAGAAGAAGAAGGTGAATATACTAAAGCAGCCTCAGAAAATGCTCTAAAATCAACATTAAATATTCTGATCTCTTGATCACTTTTCTTATTATTATTCTTGGACCTTCTGGAAGATGCACTTGATGATATAATCATCAAATCATTAGTACCACCGCCAGCAGCTGTCGAAATCAGCTGGTGGTGGTGGTCGTCTACACTCGTCGAGTTTGACGAATTCGGAATGTTGGGATCTGAGATCAAGCTCTGAGTCCAACCTGAAATATCAGAAGCGGCACAGATGATTGCATCTGTATTAGAAACAAAGGAATCTCCATCTTCCATGATTGTGTCTATAGACATCTCTCTATAATTCATTTTTTTTTCTTTTTCATAAATTGGTGGAGTTACTTTAGCTTCATAATTCGTTTAAAAAGAGTTTTAGGTCTTGCATAGTCAATTTTTTTATTTTTTATTTTTATTTTTTTTATTTTATGGTTATTCCAAGAAATTTCGCTTTCATTTGTTTGTAATAGTCCAACTTTATCTATCAACGTGGAATGACTCATCTAGTGGAAGAAGTTTAATTATTATAAGGAAAAGCTTTTCAAGAACATCGGTTTGAGGCTAGTAGGCAGGGGTGGATGTATCTTTATCGGTGCGGTGTCTTGTGGAATTTTTTTACTAAATATATATTAATACTATGAGAAAGCAGATAAATAGGAAAAAATGACACCATTTAACATAAATTATTTGTTGGTGTATTGGTTACGTGCTTGATTTTACTTTAAGATGTCAGAGGTCCAAATCTTAACTAACACATCATTTTTGCAAATTTTTGAGAGAATTTATGCAGTTAAAAATTGTGATGAATTAGCATTTAATCCATGAATTTTTCTAACTTAAAACTCAACAAAATTAATATACTAAAGTTATTTCTTGTTTAGAAGTATGATAATTAAAGTTATTACTCCGGTTCTTTTGTAAATTTTGATATCGTTTACAAACATTTCTGAGTATGCTCCTGCTAATGGGATCCAAACAAGACTAAAATTACGACAAAAGTTGGAACTTAAATTTCCTCGAACATGACTGATGTAGATAAATAGCTTTGACAAAGTGCCAATGAAGCAGTTGGAGAAAAGTAATTTTCTTGTCGATTGCCAATGAAGTCTTGATTTTTTCTCCACCAACCAACCAAGTCTTGACTCGATAGTTATTAAAAGGCTAAATTCTTAGATAGTTCTTTAATTTTGGCACCAGTTAGTCACTTCAACTATACTAGTAACCAGATAGACATATCAATTAAGCAGTAATGTGTCTCATGAATATCCCGTTGGGAATAAACCCTGTAAAAATAATATTTACGATATTAGTGATAAACGCAGAACACTAAGTTATGGTTAAATCAGCAAAAGTAGAAATGCAGCAATAATGACACCAAGATTTTACGTGAAAACCCTTCTGAATAAGGAAAAAATCACGGCCAAGAAGAGCAACTGATATCACTATAGCGAGGAATTTTACACTGTGTAGTAACGAGTAAAAATACTCCTAAGACCACTACACCCTCAAAAGAAATAAACACTCTTTTGCTTTTTCCACCTCACTACAATATCTATTTTTCTTCACAAACTATTTTCTTATAGTTTATGGAATACCTTACTCTCTCTCTTCTCTCTTTGTTGGTGTCTTACAAATGGCTCAAAAGCTCTCTATTTATAGAAATTCTATATTCCTACAGATGTCATCATTGACATCAAAAGAAAGGAAGAGATATTCAAACTCTTCAATTTGAAAAATTCAACAAAAACGGTGGCTGCCAAAAATGACTTAGAAGTCTTTATCACATCTATTTTCCTTCTTCTTCATTTATGGGAATGGACCCCACAAATCTCCCCCTCCAGACCCATTCGTCTAAAGGAAGTAACACCAGACTTCTAGTTTGAGCGCATGCCGACAAGTTCTTTGCAAAGCTCGAACTTGTCTCTTGGTACTATCTTGGTTAGCATATCCGCAGGATTTTCACTCCTGTGAATCTTTTTGACTTGAAGTGATTCGTTCTCCACTTGCTCACGAATCCAATGATGTCTGACGTCGATGTGTTTTGTTCTCGCATGGTACATGGAGTTTTTGCTCCGGTCTATTGCACTCTGACTTTCGCAATAGACAACATACTCCATCTGTCGCAATCCAAGTTCTTGAAGAAATCTCTTGAGCCATATCATCTCTTTGTCAGCTTCAGTAGCCGCAATATACTCCGCTTCAGTTGTAGATAGTGCGACACACTTCTGCAACTTCGACTGCCATGATATAGCTCCCCCTGAAAAAGTAAACAAATATCCAGTAGTGGATTTTCTGTTATCAAGGTCACCTGTCATATCAGAATCTGTATAGCCCTTTAAAATTGGATTTAATTTTCCAAAATAGAAGCATTCATGTGAGCTTCCTCTTAGATACCTGAGTATCCACTTTACAGCTTCCTAATGCTCTTTTCCTGGATTTTCGAGAAATTTGCTAACAACACCGACTGCATGAGCAATATCTGGTAGAGTGCATACCATTACAAACATCAAACTTCCGACGGCAGAGGAATAAGGAATCTTGGTCATTCTCTCTTTTTCCTCCATTGTTGTAGGACACATCTTCTTACTCAACTTCAGATGACCAGGAAGGGGTGTGCGAACCAACTTAGCACTTTTCATATTGAAGCGCTCCAGTACACGTTCTATGTACTTCTGCTGTGACAAGTAAAACTTCCTTTCGATTCTCGAACGAGTAATTCTCATGCCCAAAATCTGCTTAGCATGACCCAGGTCTTTCATTACAAAAAACTTATTCAATTGTTTCTTCAACTCGTCAATCTTGAAAACATTCCTGCCCACAATCAACATATCCTCCACATATAGCAAGAGGATGATAAAGTCATCATCAGAAAATCCTTGTACAAACATACAGTGATCTGAAGAAGTCTTCTTGTAGCCTTGCTCCCCTATAACAGACTCAACCTTCTTGTACCATTGTCTGGGAGCTTACTCAATCCATATAGACTCTTCTTAAGTTTGCATACAAGATTTTCTTTATCTTTTGCCTTGAAGCCTTCAGGTTGTTCCATATAAATCTCCTCTTCTAAGTCACCGTGAAGAAAAACAGTCTTCACATCTATCTGCTCAATCTCCAAATCAAGACTGGCAGTCAAACCAAGAACTGTCCGAATGGAGGACCTTTTCAAGACAGGAAAAAATATTCCGTCAAAGTCAATACCTTTCCTTTGACCAAATCCCTTGACAACCAATCTAGCTTTGTATCTAGGTTTCAAACTATGTTCTTCAGGTTTAACTTTGAACACCCATTTGTTATTCAAAGCTCTCATGCCCTTAGGCAATTTTACCAACTCATAAGTATGGTTCTCATGCATAGATTTCATCTCATCTTGCATGGCTTCAATCCATTGATCATTGTGTTTATCTTCCATGGCCTCCGCAAAACATTCAGGTTCTCCCCCATCAGTGAGTATACATACTCATTGGGTGAATCACGGGAAATGGAGTACGAGGTCTAGAAGACATCCTGAGTGGAATATCTAACTCATCCACAGCTTCGTAAGTATGAGCATATACCTCGTCAACATTAGCATTGTTATCACCATCACCATCAATATGTTGATCTGGAATATGGTTCTGGGCATCACCATCATCATTGAGCCCATCAACGTCATCCGCATTTGTATGAGGAACTTGATCAAGATTAACTAAACCTTCAGAACCTGGAGATTTTAGCTTCTTCGTTTTGTTAACATCTTCAATGGTTTGATCCTCCACGAAGATAACATCACGTCTTCTCATGACCTTCTTGTCAATTGGATCATATAGCCTGTAACCAAACTCATCAAGGCTATAACCAATGAAGATGCACTGCCTTGACTTGGCAGTTAATTTTGACCTCTCATCTTTAGGCATATGTACAAAAGCTTTGCAACCAAACACTTTCAAGTGGTCATAGGAAACATCCTTGCCATACCAAACTTTGTTTGGAACATCACTTTAAAGCAACCGTAGGGGATAGATTAATAACATGTGCGGCGGTCAACAAAGCCTCACCCCAAAAGGAATTCGGAAACTTTGCTTCAGAAAACAAACGTCTAACTCTTTCCATCAAGGTCCTATTCATCCTTTCTGCTAAACCATTAAGCTGATGAGTCTTAGGAGGAGTCTTCTGGTGTTTGATACCCTGTTGTTTGCAGTATTCATCAAATGGTCCATAATATTCACGACCGCTATCAGTACGAATACGCTTCAGCTTCTTTCTAGTTTCTCTTTCAACTGAAGCCTGAAACTGCTTAAAGACACCCAACACTTGGTCTTTAGTCTTCAAGATGTAGACCCAAAGTTTCCTTGAACAATCATCAATAAAGGTAGAAAAATAAAGTGCCCCACCCAAAGTCCTTGTCTTCATTGGACCATATAAATCTGAATGCACTAACTCAAATAACTCTGTCTTTCTTGAAGGAGGATGAGACTGGAAAGAAGTTCTTCTTTGTTTTCCAGCCAAGCAGTGCTCACATTTTTCTAATTTTGCACTTTCAAAATTTGACAACAATTTCTTCTTGGCCAGAACATTTAGTCCTTTTTCGCTAATGTGGCTAAGCCTCTTATGCCATAACGTTGAAGAGTTATGGCTCTCAACGACATTTACCATATCAACACAGGTAGAGGCCGTAGTCCAGTATAGACCACGACGCTTTTCCCCATGAGCCACAATCATGGAGCCCTTAGTGAGCTTTCACTTTCCAGCACCATTGGTACTGACATATCCCTCATCATCCAAAACACCAATAGAGATTAAGTGCAAACGAACATCAAGTGCATGCTTTACATTGTTTAAAACTAGTTTAGTTTCAATACTAGTTTCCAAACAAATCATTCCAACACCAGCCACCCTAGATACAATCTCATTACCCATACTCAAAGTTCTATAGTCACCCTGAGTATATGATGAGAAAAATTCCTTCCTTGATGTCACATGAGATGCGGCACCACTGTCCACAACCCAGCTTGACTCATCACAAGCAATATTTATCAGATCCACATCAAGGACAGTAACAAGATCTTTTGTAGTGACGGTGGCCACACGATTGCCATCTTCTTTCTGTTCTTCCTTGTCTCTATTCTCTTTTTAAAAATCTGGCAGAACTTCTTTGTATGCCTTTTCTTCCCGCAATGATAGCACTCAATATATTTAAGTCTGCTTCTGGATTTGTTTTTATTATGTTCTCTATTTTGAGAACCCCAATTCTTGCTTCTCCCCCTAGAGTCAGTCACCAAGACATCTGATGAGGAGGAATCCTGAGATTTTCTTCTCATCTCTTCATTTAAAAGGCTGCTCTTGGCAAGATCCATAGAGATCACACCATCCGGAGCAGAATTTTATAATGAAGTTCTAAGAATTTCCCAAGAATCTGGTAGGGAACCAAGTAAAAACAAGCCTTGAATTTATTCATCAAATTTAATGCCCATAGCAGATAACTGGTTCACGTCATCGCGGAACCGTCGTGGTATTTTAAACCCAACATCTGCTTTTTCAGAAACATCTTGTTGTTTCCAGTTTTCCGAGCATACAAACTTTCAAGATGCTCCCATAGGGTCCGAGCATGTGTCTCCCCAGAAATATGGTTCAAAATATTATCGTTAACCCACTGTCTAATAAAGCCGCAAACCTGCTTGTGTAACAAATTTCACTCTTCATCTGATTTATTATCAGACTTTATAGTGGCGAAGACAGGTTGATGAAAATTCTTGACATAGAGCAAATCTTCCATTTTGCCCTTCCAAATGGCATAATTTGTGTCATTCAAAGTAACCATTCTACTAGTGTTGGCTTCCATCGCTTATCACAAATACAAATACTATTATTAGGAGACCAAAGTAATTCTTTTCTGATGTGAAAGTTCAGACTGTGCTGCAACCACAGAGCATACTCAGACAGAACCTTGGCTCTAATACCACTTGTTGGGAATAAATCCCGTAAAAATAATATTCACGGCATTAGTGATAAACGCAGAACACTAAGTTATGGTTAAATCAGCAAGAATAGAAATGCAACAATAATGACACCAAGATTTTACGTGGAAACCCTTCTGAATAAGGGAAAAACCACGGCCAAGAAGAGCAACTAATATCACTATAGCGAGGAATTTTACACTGTGTAGTAACGAGTAAAAATACTCCTACGACCACTACACCCTTAAAAAAAATAAACACTCTTTTGCTTTTTCCACCTCACTACAATATCTCTCACATTCTATTTTTCTTCACAAACTATTTTCTTATAGTTTATACAATACCTTGCTCTCTATCTTTTCTCTCTTTGTTGGTATCTTACAAATGGCTGAGAAGCTCTCTATTTATAGAGATTCTATATCCCTACA